AGCGACTTGACTGCAGTCAATGGACCATGTCCGATGTATCCTCGTCTGGGTTACGCTCAAATTTACAGGCACCAATTTGAGCCAGATTCGCCATCATTGAGAAAGCGTAGCTAATTTTCACATTACAAACACTTGCAGGGACTTCGTCGGCGCTTGGTCAGCTGTTCGACCACGGGTGTGATGCCTTCAATGTAACCATCAGCTCAGTCACAATGGCGGCAATGATGCAGATGAGCGTTCTATGGGCGACGATCTTTATACTGTGGTGTGTGCTGCGTTTGTAGTGAAAGGATGAGAAAACATTCGGGTTCTCGGGTGGGTATTCTGAGTGGATTATACCTGTAGGGGATGTGAGTTTGTATACTCGAGTGTATTTACGGCGGGTTCTTTCTTACATGTGTATTGAAGAGTAGATAGATATGATATGAGTAGGTGTCAGAAGCTAATAGCCGAGCATTCAACTGGCCCTCGTCTTTACTTTTGCACAGCTATTATTCGTTCTATCTATATGAATGCCACCAATTGTTACAATGGTAGGCGTATTTGGGCTTTGGCTGACTTTTTGTGAACACCTCTAGGACACCAACTGTTACAATTTGCAGTAGCTTCATATGAAGTTTCAACAGACTAGTTAGATAAGATGTACATGCTATGTCATATTCCATGACACTATACTGCATGTTTTTAGCATGGATTAGAAGTGCACGCATAAAAAAAGTCAACCAAAGCACAAAGACACCTACTATACACATATAGGGGTCGTGTACTTTGTTTCGTTCTTTCCTATCCCATGACAAACCCTGCATCCCCGATCCGGCAGTGCGCAGCTTAACTTCTACATCGCCACGTGGGACGAGTACCACACCCACGAGATGTATTTGCCCAAGATCAACGGGGCCGATGAGGGCCTGGTACTCACTGTACTGCTGTACATGCTTACCGCCTTTGTTTTACCCCGTGGCGTCTGGCTGATGGAAGTCTACACCGTGCCGCTCAATGTATGGTTCACGATAGTGTCGCTGCTGTCGGCGCTCTTTACGGCCAACATGTTTGTGGGCCGAGTGCGTGACCACAGCAGGTGTGTGTGTGTGTGTTAATAGTCTCACTTTCACGAGCAGCGTTTATTTTGGCAGAGCGCTGGACACGGCGAGGGTGCATGTCACAGTGGGGTTCAGTTTGAGCCATTGTGGCTATCATGTTTTAGTTTGGCAGGGTGCATGATTGCAGCGGGTGTGCGTGTGTATTGCAGTCCCTTTTTCTTTTTACGGCTGGCATGTTTGTTGGCAGAGCGCGTTAATACAACTGATGTAGTGTTACAGTTGCAGGAGTTGTGTGTGTGCTACGGTGCCTTTCCACGGCCATCATATTTGTGGGCAAAGCGAGTGTACACTGCAGGCGTGCTTGTTACAGTGTCTTGGCTTTGTTGTTATGGCTTACATATTGATGACAACAGCATGCCAATGATAAACTTTGAAATCAGGACTTAGATGATGTCTTCTCCGGCATCTACGAAATGGGCGGAACGTGCCCATGCCCTGTCCAAAGCAAGACTTGAGATATAAACAGCACACCAGGTGAAAGCTGTGCCTATCTGCGAGGTCAACATTCGACAAGCTACTGTGTGACACACATGAATACCTTTGGCTAAAAAAACACTCCATACTCAACGCGACCCCACACCCACCTCCGCCACAGAGAGAAAGGATGGCCACTCGAGAGAGCGTGGTGGAAGCTACTACCCTTCGGCATCACTGTATCACAGACTGTCTACTGGTTACTGGTGGTCACCGCAGCCACAAACGCATTCGATTATGCGGTGTTTGAGGTGTTGCTGTGCTGCGCGTTCTGCTTCGGCCAGTTCACGTCGCGGCTCATCGTCGCGCACGTGTGTGGGATGCACTTCAAGGCCTGGCAACCGGCGCTTTGGGTTCCCATGATCCCCATCACCGCCCATAGTATGTGTATGCATAGTTGCACATCTGCACACCTAAACTTGCATACGAACGAAGCACACATGTTGCAAATCTTGAGTTCCCTGGTATTTACGTATCTGTAGATTAGCAACTTAAAACGTTCATTCGACTGATGAGAATCCAGGATAGTAAGTAACAGGCTTCGTAGTACTGTCGGTGAGTTGGAGCTCAGTATTCGTATTTTGCGACTTTGACCACACGCATGTGATGTTCGTAGGCTCTTGCATTGTATGGTAAAATGTAGTCAAGAATACGACTAGCGGTTGCGAATAGCACACAGATTTGCGCGTGTCGCATTCGCACATAACAGATAGATGAGACTTTTTCGTGACTTTCATATACGCCCCCCGTCCCTGCGCGTCAGTCAACAGAAACGGACAGGTTTTGTCCTACCCTTGGTTTAAGTGATGCAAGTGTAGTTGGCTTATTGACCAGGGAGTTAACGCATTGGGCAGTGCTTATATATCCCAGATCGAATATAGAGAAGCTGCTGAGCGTGTTAAGTTAAACACCCTAGAGTCAACTCAACTCATCGCAACCCTGACACATGCACAATAATGGTGGCCTAATAACTAACGATGATTGGTCTGTGTGAAAGTCTTATCATTAATTGTTTATGGTTCGGATTTCAACAACTTAGTGACACCTCTCATACTTTCATTTGATTGATTACTTCAATGAGCATTCCGCTCATGCTTTCAACCCATTTCCCCCCACGCCCCAGTTTTGACCGCTGTGCTGGATGTGACCGTGGTACCTCCCTCCACCGTGCTACACATCACCTTGTGCATCTCTGGCCTTATGTGGCTGCACTATGCGTACGTGTGCATCAATGCCATCAGCTCGAGTCTGGGTATCCGGAGGTTCAACATAGAGACAAGACATGTCCCAGAGGTTAGTGGGGTTCTACCGGAGAGGTGACATACCCTGAAGACCTAATTCGACATACTGAAGACCTAATTCACTTCACCTAGTACTTCAATAATTTAGCATAATTAGGACGCAATTGCCCAAATGGAGGCAGCCGGAATGAGGTTTTCATTAAAAAGCCCAAAGCAATTGTTCAATTATTTGGTATTTGCTAATCAGATTTAACATTAGTATCTAGTAAGTTACACTGCCCGTCCCCTGGTCAGTATTGGTATTTTCGTATCGAACGCAATTAAAAAATATTGAGGAACGAATTGAAGAACCTCCGCCCACCCACAATATCATCTCGAGTTGTAGATTGTGCAAAATTGAATTATTTATGTGCGCTGTATATACTATACCATAGTCTCAATTATTTTGAGTTGCTGTAGATGCCTTGAAAATTTCGACAGAGTTCAACTGCATAAATATGTCCAATGTATGCTTATATCGCTTTGTACTGCAGATGTACTGCGTGTGCGCCTGACGGAGTACTTTGTCACATTTTTGTTTTAGAGTAGGAGTATAGAGATTGTTTTTCTGATCTCGTATTAAGTTTGAACGCTGGCATGACTTTTCAACTTTTATTTGAATCAATTAGGGTTTGTCAGTGTCTAACACATTGTAAGGTTTTATCATCTATTAAGCTTTTGAACGTGAGGTCGCCAGCATATTCTATATCCCCAAACTTATATAGAGTCCTGCTACATCAGACTAGTTGTTTTTGATCTACCTCAACTAACTCATTATGATTTGTACACAAAACGAGCGGTTTCTGTAGGTAGCGTATGTCCTAGGATTCAGGAGGTGTGTATCGTCTCCATGCAATTTACGTAGTACCTTGCAGTACTTTGGACATTTATCGCAGGCTCCAGTCCGCCCCACCACCATGGTTTAGTCTCGCTTCTTGTTCCCAACCGAGTACATGTCATAGTCTTCAGCCTGGAACAGCCGAGTGCGTAACCAGTACCACAGGGTGCTAGTCGAATATTGCAGAGGATTCTTACCCCCAATTTTGTACCAGCTGTTGCAGTCAGCTGAGTAGGCGAGTTTGTTCATCTCTGCGTCTACCCTATCAATTTCCGCCCTGGGAGTGTGCGAGTGACATAATTATTCGCTGAAGACAGTAACGCCGCTTGTCCTTGTATATGCAGGATACCAGTTTGAAAGATACCAGTTTGAAACAGCACACTTCGAGTTCTAGATGAGAAGAGCACTATAACTAACGCGTCAGACCATTCTAATAGCGTGTTAGCGGTCACTCTAAAAGATAACTTCATTGCGCCCAGTCCCGGTACTTTAAATAACTATCCACTCCACAATATATAAAAACATGGGCCAGATCAAGGCACACTGAAACACCGACAAAAATACAACACGGAACACAAAC